CCCTGGTATCACGACGGCGAGCGGTCTCTGCGCTCAGGGGCACTCTGCCTCGGCGCGGCATCTCCCGAGCATGGGCTCACGCCGCGCACCTCGACTCACATGTGCGCCGTGGCAGAATGGTCACAAGCATTAGTAACGAGTCAGTCTGTGGCACGACTCGCGTGACGGATGTGTCAAGGTCAGCGCGGAGACGTTGCACGAGCACCCCCACAGGGCCCCTTGGCGGAGCTTTTTTGGGGTACGACCCGCGTAACGAGTGTGCCGAAGATTGGCGAGGAGGCGCTGCACGAGCGTCCTCGCCGGGGCCGTTGTCAGAGCTCCTGTAGGGGCACGATCCGTGTGAGGGTGTACCAACGCTGGCGCGGAGATGCTGCACGAACGCCCCACGATCCCTCACATGATGTGCCGAATGGATTCGGAGACGCTGTAGAAACGCCCCCACTAGGACTAGGGCCGTCGGCGGAGCTCCCCATGGGGTGCGATCCGTGTGAGGGGCATGCTGAGCTGGGCACGGAGACGTTGTCCGCGCTTGGGCCGTGGGCTGAGCTCCTAGGGCACGATCCTTGACAAGGTGTGGTGCCGAATTGGCGGGTCGTTGTAGGAACGCCCCCGCTGGGGCCGTAGGCGGAGCTCCCCTATGGGGGGCGATCCTTGTGAAGGGCACCCGAAATGAGCTCGGCGACGCTACATGAACGCCCTCGCTTGGGCCGTCGGTGCAGGGCGCCAATGTGCAGGGTCCGTGCGATGGGGATGCCAATTTGTTGAACGGAGACGCTATCGAAACACCCCCACTCGGGCTTGAAATGGAGCTCCCTATGTATGAGGTACGATATGGGGCATGCCGAAATGGGCGCGGAGGCGCTTTAAGAAGACTTCTGCTGGGACCGCAGGTGGAACTCCCTATATGTGGCACGATCCATGTGATGGGTGCGCGGATATGGACGAGGGCAGGAGGAAGAGGAGGAGGAGGAGGAGGACCAGTGTAAACTCAGGAGTCATCAACAATGTTTGGATCCACCCTCCCTCCAAGCTCCCTCTTCATAGGCCCCTACAGGAGTTCATTTCCACTGAGGGAACTGCCTCGTTGGAAGACAACCGTTTGAAGACCCTGAAGCATGCCAAAACATTATTCTCGGGAGTCCAACGCCACATATGAATATGACTACTGCGTCTTCACGATCCTGAATCGTGCCAGAACGCCGTTCCTGGGACTTCAACACCGCGAATCAACGTGACTGTGGCACCCTCATAGTCCTGAATCTTTCCAAAACACAAGTTCTGGTACGTTGACCACGGGACCCCGTGAAACTGTTACAGTTGTTGAAAAGGAAAGTGCGCGGCGCTAAGGCGAGAGCCACATGTTGAAAAGGAGCCACCCTCAATCCATGAAGCTCTTGCAAATGTTTAAGACGAATATGCTGGGCCCTAAGGCGAGAACCACGTGTTGAAAACCACCCGCCCTCCATCTGTGAAGCTGTTCCCAATGTTTAAGCTGCAGGGTCATAAATGGTGAGGACGGCTCAGGCGAGACGACCAGCCCGCCCTACAGACAAGTCTGGTTTGCGAGGGGGAGGAGTTATCTATGAGAAGGGGTGCAGCAGGAGAGGCAGGAGGAGCAGCAGGAGGAGGACGAGGAGGAGGAACAGGAGAGGAGCAGGAGAACGAGGAGGAGGAGGAGGAAGAGGAGCAGGAGGAGGAGGAGGAGGAGGAGGAGGAGGAGGAGGAGGAGGAGAGGAGAGGATGATGATGTGATGATGATGATGATGATGATGATGATGATGATGATGATGATGATGATGATGATGATGATGATGATGATGATGATGATGATGATGATGATGATGATGATGATGATGATGATGATGATGATGATGATGATGTGATGATGATGGATGAGGATGAGAGGAGGAGGAGGAGGAGGAGGAGGAGGAGGAGGAGGAGGAGAGGAAGGAGGAGGAGGAGGAGGAGGAGGACGTCGACGAGGAGCTGGGGAAGGAGGAGGAGGAGGAGGACAGAGGAGGACAGAGGAGGACAGAGCGGAGGAGGAGGAGGAGGAGGAGAGACGGGAGGAAAGAGCAGCAGCAGCAGCAGCATCAGCAGCAGCAGCAGCAGCAACAGCAGGAGCAAGAGGAGGAAGAGGACGAGAGGAGGAGGAGGAGGAGGAGGAGGAACGGGAGGAGGAGGAGGAGGAGGAGGAGGAGGAGGAGGAGGAGGAGGAGGAGGAAGAGGATGAGGAGGAGGAGGAGGAGGAGCGTCAAGGTAGAGAACCTCACAGGGCAGGAGTTCGAGCTCCTGGGCACCTACGCCAAGGAAGGGGAGCCGCAGCACCTGCAGTTGCCGTCCCGGCTCCCGCACGCGCGTGTCAAAACAGGGTTGGAGCAGTTGTTTGAACATAGTTTCGTGGTGGTGGGAATGAGGAGGGAAAGGGAGATCGGATCAGAAACAGCTGCATACATTGGCAGAGCTTCGCGCCGATCTCTTGGATCGAAGTCGGGCCCACCTCAGTGGCGCCTCTGGCGCCGTCACTGGCGCGCTCCGCGCGCCAGGGAGGGGTCCCATCGCCGATCGAAGAAGTCCGTGCGGACCTCCGAAAGCTTATGTTTATGATTTTGTTGTTTTTCTAAAGACTGGGGAAGGGAGCGAGTGAGACAGGGAGGCAGTGAGGAAGGGATGCAGGGATAGGGGAGAAGGAGGAGGAGGAAGAGGAGGAGGAGGAGGAGGAGGGGCAGGAGGAAGAGGAGGTGGATAAGGAGGAGGAGGGGCAGGAGGAAGAGGAGGAGGAGGAGGAGGAGGAGGAGACAGGACGAGGAGGAGGAGCAGCAGCAGCAGCAGGAGCAGGAGCAGGAGAGCAGAAAAAGGGGCAGCAGGAGCAGGAGGAGGAGAAGGAGGAGGAGGACGAGAAAGAAGAGAAAGAGAAAGAGGAGGAGGAGGAGGAGGAGGAGGAGGAGGAGGAGGACGAGCGGCGGAGGACGAGGACGAGGAGGAGGAGGAGGAGGAGGAGGAAGAGGAGGAGGAGGAAGAGGAGGAGGAGGAGAGGAGGAGGAGGACGACGAGGAGGAGGAGGAGGAGGAGGAGGACGAGCGGCGGAGGAGGAGGAGGAGGAGGAGGAGGAGGAGGAGGAAGAGGAGGACGAGGAGGACCAGGAGGAGGCGGAGGAGGAGGACAAGGAGGAGAAGGAGGAGGAGGAGGAGGAGGACGACGACGACGACGAGCGGACGAGCGGACGCTCCTGGGCCAGGGCGCGGCGCCAGCTGGGGGCTGCTGCAGCAACCGCGGCAAGACGGGCCCGAGGGCGTGGCAGCTCGTTGGGTAGGCGCTCTGCTGCAAGGCGCGCCACGCCTACCGATGCTCCTGTGGAGGTGGCCCCACGGCGCGGAACGGAGATGCCGAGGACGTGTGGGAGCGCATCCACCAAGGATGCGGCTTCCGCACGGCCCGGCAGGTCCCTGTTCCCGCTTGGAACAGGTGGCGCTGCTGGTGCTGCTCCGCCCCAGCCTGTGCGGCCCGCGGAACGGCCGACGCGCCTCCGTCTGGCCCCTGCGCCACCTGCGGGGCGGCGCTCCAGGTAAAGCGGGAAGAGGTTCGCATGGACGTGGAGGCGCAGCGAGGGGATTGCCCCAGGCCGTACGCGGACGTCACTGTCCGGTACAACGTCCCCAGGGACGCGCGCGCCCTGGCGGCGGCAGCTGACGGCGACGGCGCCATCAATGCCGACGCCGAGGCTGACAAGCGGCGCCGTTACCCGGCGCACCGCGCGCTCTGGCCGTTGCTCCCGCTGGTGCTGGAGACAGGGGGGCGCCGCGGCCAGGCAGCGCTCCGGCACCTCCGCTGGCTGGCGCGAGACCAGGCGCAGGATATTGGCTTCGGCGACGGCCCCACAGCGGGGGCGGTCAGCAGCGCGCTGGCGCAGCGCGGCGCTTCACCGCGCCACCGCTGTGCAGCTCCGCTCCGCCCAGGGGCGCGACGCCACCCAGGTGGCGGCCACGGACTACGCCTTCCAGGTGTGGCCCTACAGCGTCAGGGGTGGCATTGGGCGCGCGCGTACAGACCCGCTTTCGGCTGCAGGGGATGAGGTAGAGGAGGCGGAGGAGGTGGAGGAGGAGGAGGAGGAGGAGGAGGAGGAGGAGGAGGAGGAGGAGGAGCAGGAGGAGCAGGAGGAGGAGGAGGAGGAGGAGTAGGAGGAGGAGGAGGAGGAGGAGGAGGAGGAGGAGGAGGGGTCCAAGCTGGTCCAGGGGCGGAGACATTTGATTCGCTGCGCTGAATGACCAGGAGGACGAGATCAGCGGGGAGGGGGTTGGAGGAGGAAAAATGGAGGACGGAACAGGGGAGGCGAGAGGGCGAGAGAAGGGATAATGGATGACAGGGCGGAAGGGGGATGGAAGAGAAGGGATAATGGATGACAGGGCGGAAGGGGGATGGAAGAGAAGGGATAGGAATGGAGGGGGGAACGAAGTAGTGGTTGAGTGAGGAGCGAAAAGGGTGGAAGGCTCGGAAAGAGGAGAAGAGTGATGAGTGAAGATTGTGACGAAGGATGAGCGAAGATGGAGGAGAGAGGGAGGAGCAGGGAGAAGGTAACAGGTATTTAGGCAGGAGGCAGGGGGAAGAGGGACAAAGGGGATGATGAGGAAAGAGGAGCGAGGTAGGCAGAGCTGGCTGGCCAAGAGCATGCCAGCCATGTGCGTTCGGGGTTGGCGACCATGGGGTCTTCGGGGGGGCGTTCCACGCGGAATCCAGCCAGCGTTCCACAAGGCGCTTGAGGGGTGTTTTACACGGCGACCGAATGGCGCTGTCCAAGCTACATGGGGACTCGCCACAGGGCTTTCGAGGGACGTTCCACAAGGCGCTTAAGAGAATTCCCACATGGCGTTTTTTTTTTTTGGGGGGGGGGGCCGACCGCCATCGGCATCGTGGAACGTCCCACGGGCGCCTCGGGCGCCTCACATTTGAAATACGGTCCGCTCCCCATCCTTGTGGCCATTGGACACTTTGAAGACGAGTGT